CACACACCCCCACACACCCACACACACACCCACACACACCCACACACACACACACAGACACACACAGACACACACAGACACACACACACACAGATATATATATATATATATATCGTCATGGCACAGATCCTAAACCTGAGAGCTTCAGAAGCCAAGCCGAAATCTGGTACCCCGAGGGCCACCTCCGAACAGACCCAAAACCTCGGGACTCATCTGTTCCGGCTAGACGAGAAAGCGAAACCGAAGCTTCCGGCGCTGACGCCCACTCCCGCGGATTCCAAACGGATCTTCGAGGGCTGCCCTCAAGTCCCTCAAGGCCTTCGGGTTGTTCTGCACCATCGGTCTCTCATATCGGAGGTGCGAGAAGCCTTTGGGGCTGAGGCGGTCAGAAGCCTACAGTCTGGAGCCTCAACCCTAAACCCTCACAACCTTGGCTCAGATCTTCGGGTCTTAGACCCTGACCTTTGAATGGCAGAAACCCAGGCCCTGAGACCTTAAACCCTAAGTCCCAAAGTTGGAAGTCTAAGCCCAAAGCGTTTTTTCACACCCGCCCAGCTGGGATTCTAGCTTTGTTTTTTCTAAGCGCCTCGTTTCCTCTCCTCCACAGTTGCGCACATTGGACGTTCAGTAACGCCTCGAAGGATGCAGGTGTAGCTGGATTCCCTCTTTCCCCTAAAACCCTCAGGCAAAACCCCAAGCCCAAACCCTAAATAACCCTACCCCTTGCCGCCCGAAGCTATCGACCAGCTCTGCTGGGGCCCCGGCCTCCCTCCGTCCTGGCTTTAGGGGATCATAAGTTTAGGGGATCGAAGGTTGTGTCGTCGCCGGAAGCTTGCTTTTTATGCAATCCCGAAACACTTGGCAAACACCCTGGCGCCTGAAACCCAGACCTCCATCCGAACGCACATATTCAGATTCTGCTGGAGCCCAATAAATCCGAGGCCGAAACCACCTGTCCCCGAACTCGGAAGCATGAGCAAGGAAGCTATACGATCTGATCCCGACAAGGGCCTTCCCGGTGGATCTGTGTTGGGGGACATCTCCCTAAACCCTAAACCCCATTTGGCAACTGGCTTGCAACGTCACGCCAGGACAGCTGACCCTAAACCCTTACACCCTTAAACCCTTAGCCGCCTTTACCCTTAAAAACAGATAAAAGGAGAACCTGGGCCTGAACATATTCGATCTCTCTAAGGGGACATCGCAAAAGGAAGTCCTAAAAGGCCGTCCCAACACAAGCCCCGAAGCTCCAAACAAACGACAAGCAGAATCCGCAGAACTCATTAAAAAGCCTGCCTAACACAGATAAAACTGCGTGTCTAACCCCTGGCCTGAAATAGTTCAGGGTGCACTGCGCACACTGGCGAGTCGCCCCCATTTTCGTAACCTCGATGTACGTACGCTTCCGCTCTCAGCCCACAAGGCTTTTAAGCCCTTTGGCCCGTGGGGTTTACGGGTTCATGGTGTTGTAGTGGTGTCTTATTCTGCGCTATAGACTTCCACAGGGTTCCAGGATCATACTCTTGCATTCCTTATCTCCCAATAACTCTAAGCCCGAAACCCGCAGACCTACACTCTGAACCCCTCCCTGTGCAAAAAGCGGACGGAATTGATTGTCCGGGTCGTGGCAGAAGTTCGGGCTTGTGTCTTGTGGAGCTGGACTTTGTGGCTGTGAGTTGCAGGTGCTGGAACTCTGTCAAACGCAAGCTGCAGAGTTACAAAACAAGAATAGATCAGATCTCAGACTCCAAAGCCTGAAACCTCCAACCCCAAACCCCATGGGAGCTCCGGAGTGACAAGGTCTCTCCCGGCCCCATCGCATTCATCTTGAACCCCGATCTGTAAAGCCTGAAGCCGGCAACTCTTAAGCCTAAACCCTAAACCCTCTCTGAGTTCTCAGCGAACAGCACCGACAGAATGGAAGACAAGCACAGACTGCAAGGGATTGGAAGTGAAGCTCGCCGGTGCAAGGGTACGGTTTAGGGTTTCGTGGTATACGCTATTGCGCAACCGATTGTCGAGGCGATTCGCTAGTATAGCCGTTAAGGCGGCTTCCAGCCTTGTAAATTAAAAGAAAAGCCGCAAAGACCAATACGACCACAATCGCAAGCAACGGTCATAAACCCTAAACCCTACCTTCAAGGCGAAAAAATTACCCTTCTTCAGGAACCACTACAACCTCGGCTAAGGACTCTGCGGCTCTCCGCTTCAACCCCGGAGATTTCTGAAGCTTAGGGCTTGTGTGGGGCTTTAGGATTGTAAGGTTTCGGGATTTTTGTTAAAGGGTTTTCGACTTTAGGTTTCAGGGAGGGTTGGGCTTGCGCACCTGGCGCACCGGTTCGTGTGAAAGCGCTTGCTTCTCTGCTTTCTTCTTCTTCTGAAAAGTTCATGTCAGGCTTCGGTGTTGAGGGCGTAGTGCCCGAGGCTTTTACTCCAAGGCGAAAACTCTCCCCCAAAGGCTCGCACCAGTATCCGGTTGCCTCAGAAAAAGGGAGTCAACCCTCCTTCAGTGGTCCTCAGTTGCACTGATAAGGGCAAAGACGGTGTCGAGGCTGGTCAGAGTTTTGAGGTGAGGCTTTGTAGCCGAAGGGCCCTCTTGAGGGTTTCGAATGAATGCAGAAAGCAACCTTGCACCGCGCCACCGCTTTTTTCGCGAAAAACGCCAAACCCGCAACCCTCGCTCCCCAAGCCCAGCAAGGCCTGTAGAAGTCGTCGGAAAAGCCGTGCCACCATAGAAAGGCACCCAAGGGGGTCAAATACCTCCCAACGCTTGGGAAGATCTGTTACTCCTGTAGTACAGTTGCAGCAAGTGCTTTTGCAGACATCAGCCAGACACCCAAATCACCTCCCTGGTTTTTAGTAGTAGGGAGTGGGAGAATGGATCCCTCTCATAGTCCCTCATAGTAATCCCGACACCCTAAACCCCTATGACCCAGTCCCCCCATTCCCTAGCAAGCACCCGGCGAAGCTGCGAGGATGCTGGACCTAGGGGCTTTATCAGCCTCAGGGTGTCGTCCGGCTGCTGGACCAACTCCAAGAAACGATCCACTTCCGCCTCCAAGTCCTGCCATTTTCGGGTTGAGAGATGTTCAGGGGTTGTTCAGGGCTTAGGATGGTTTCGGCGCTCACACTCGGACGATCCAGGCTAGGATGGTTGTGGGTTGCAAGCTGTTCGCAATACTCATGTCCTACTGCTTTGGTGTTCCCACGGGTTGTCGGAGGGTTTGCCCTCCTTATGTACCCGCCACTCGAACTTCCTAAGCCTGAGGCTTTCACGTGTCTCTTGTCAGTGCGGCTTATCAATCTTAACGGCTTACTACAACCGGTTAGTACTTTCTTGCGAACAACACTACAAGGGATCATGAACTTTCACCCTTGTGCCAGTTTGGGGTTTCTTGTGAACGAAAAAAGGGATTGATTCTGGAATCCAGGCACTGGAAAGTCCAGGGTGGACTTTAGTGGTCATGGCGTAAGGAACCCGTGCGACATGGGTATATAGGGGCCGGGGCTTGGATCTCATAGGTGCGCACTACCGACCTCTACGGCATAAAGACTCTGTGTCTGTGCTGTGATGTACATGTACGTATGCATGTATACATGCATATGTTTTCTCAGAGGCTGCTGCTGCTGCTGCTGTATACTACTCGTACTACTATAACTATTACGACGACTACTGCTGCTGCTGCTACTACTGCTACTACTGCTACTACTGCTACTACTGCTACTGCTGCTGCTGCTGCTACTACTACTACTACTACTACTACTACTACTAAGAGGCCCCTACCAACTACACGTCGTCATCGTCATCAACATCATCATCCTTGAAAAACATCATCAACATAATCCAAAAACCATCCTCCAACACACGGGCTCTTAACCATGTTAAGACAACTTCCTTTTTATCCAGTACTTACAGCATTTTCGTCATGTAGAATCACCTTACGAAGCTAGAAACCGATTTGTCGAGTTTGCAAAACTCGAGCTGCGGATTTTGGACGTGTTTTTTTTGTTGGAGGGCGTGGTGGTGTGTGCGCGAAACAATATTGTGATTATTCCCCCCGCCCAATTTTGCGTTTTCGCCGAAAGCGCCCCGAAGTCCCAATGTCGAGTTGGCAAAGTCCAGAAGTAGGTTTGGTGACCATATAAGATGGTCCGACATCACGAAAGTACTGCAAATACCGAGTAAAATGTCTCTTCTGGAGATATTGTTATGGAGTGTCTGCGTAACAATGCCGTCATCATCCCCCGAACCCCCCCACCCACGCCAAAAAGCAAGTCCAAAATCCGCAGCTCGAGTTGGCAAACTCGACAAGTCGGTTTTGAGGCTTCGTAAGCTACGAGTCCGGGACCACCAGCACCGCCATCACCACCACCAAGACCTACTTCTCTACACTCGGCTACCGGAGTTTGAGCAAATGCAGTTGCCAGTTTGAGTCCGTCTTCCCTCCCCCCCCCTCCCTGCACTGGCTGCCTCACCAAAGACGCCTCGTTCGGCATGGACATTGTCCCAATATCCTCAGCTCGGTGCTGGTGGAGGGACTGTCTGGGTTTCCAGTCTCACGCAGGGCACTGCCAGCAAGGTTTCGTGATCAATGCTTGCAGTCAAACATACGGTCAATCGCCCAAAGATCAATTGCTGAGACAACGAACACACTCAGAACAGAACATCGGATTTCGGCTTCAGTGATTTAGGCTTCGCGACCGTCAATGCCTCCCACTTCCCTATTGCCACCTCGTTCTCACTACTAAGGATGTCCGAATCGTGAAGTTTGTGCAACACCTGCAAGGCCTCAACCCTTAATCTGAAATCGTGTGCCCAAAATGCAGCAAGGGGCTGCCATTGAAGGCGCCCGATGTGTTCAACGCCTCTGCGCACTAGCAGCAGGGACCCGCATGAGGGTTTCGGGTCATCAGCCAAACCATCAACATCTTTGGGGCTTGGGTTTTCGCAACTCGTTTTTTAACACTATGCTGACTGTGCTCCTGCCTGCCGTCGGGAGTACTCCTTGCACACGGCTTTGATTGCGGGTAGCTTACCGAAACATCTCGAAGCAGGCGGACGTAACAGACAATGCCAAAACATCAAGTTTGTACGTTTGCTCATCTCTGTAAATAAATGATGAAAATGACAAACGCACAGGCTGCATGGTCATGACAATGGCAATACTTGCGCGAAAGACACCAACAGGTTGTCCTACAAAAACGTTAATCCCATTAATGACCATGCCCATTGCGTTTTGCCGAGAGGCAGTGTCCACGCGTGGATATCCGAAATAGTTGGTGAAATTGATGTAGTGATGGTAGTTCACCTCACAATCAGGAAATACACACGGTTAGACAACCAGTCGAAACCAACAACTCAACCCAAACGCTAAGCCCTAGAATCCATCGAAGCCTGGAAGCCTGACTATTCAGCCTTCAGCAAAGCGAATGTTTCTAGTGCCGGCTCCGATGTCGAGCCACGGATGTGCAGCAGCCCGGTGCGATGTAATGCTGGATGCCAACTCACACTGTCTTCATCATGATCGCTGTCTCCATCCGATAAGAGGGAGGAGGAGGGAGGAGGCGGTGGAGGCGGAAGTGCGACAAGGAAAACACCAACCCCACAATTCTGCGGGGCAAAAAGGCAGAGCCAACGTTAGAAAAAAAACACCGGGCAAAAGGATAAGGGGGCAAAGGCTCAGAAGAAAACATGCAGTCCTATAGACAAAAGATGCAATGATGCAGTGTGCAAGCGCGTAGCTTGAAGTCTCGATTCTCACACTATCCCCGTGCCTCCTCATATGCCAGCATATTATGTGTTGCCGATAATCGCGCATGCATCTCGACCAAGAGGGGAGCACAGCGGATGCTCTGCACGAACCACAGCATACTTCGCAAACAATGAACTCCTCGAGCCGAGGGCGCGCATGAGAGCAGTTCGGCTGAAACCGCTATCGCTGTAGAGAAAAAGGTTGGACAGGGAATGCGCATACCACTCTGCATACGTCTGCAACCATGTGTTGCGACGCTCTGTATGCTGGGCATCATCAGTGACCAGTACATGCTGATGGGTGTAGTTGACTCGAACGTGCTGCTTCAATCCCTCATGATCCGTGATGAGGAAGTACCGCGCGGGTGGCGACATGGGCGAGCGACCCCACAAAGCAGCTGCTGCAGAAGCAACATTCTTTGCGCAATGAAGCTTCCGCTCAAACGCTACTTTCACCCCGTGCGACAGCTGTCCCAGGGCCTCTTGAGGGTCGAAGGACCTGTCACCTAGTGTCATATGGAAGCCGACTGTCAGAACCGGCTGTTGACCCAATGGGCCATCCCATGAAATGAACTTTTGCACCAAAGCTGTAAGCGCTTCGGTAGGTGTAAATAGTTGATCAAACAATCGACCAAACAGAGTGCACTTGTCAAATCCCAGCTTGGCAAGCTTCTCGCCATACTTGGGATGGTCCAGGAAGCCATGCAAATACCCTCGATTGGAGCGAATCCGCACGATGGAGTGGTTACCCAACAAGTCCTCAACATTGCCATATGCATTACGCACGAAAATAACGGACTTTCACGAGTGCATCGTTCCAACGTCTCACTCCACCGCCAGTCCACATCCGGATCAGTGGGTTGAAAGGACTCGTCAAAGAAGTCTTGTCGCACAATAAACGCTCGCTGAGTGAGCATGGACACTAGCACAAACGTCATCATGCCCACGAAGCGGTCAGCAAGATCGCCGCAGTCGTGCTTCAAATTGCAATCGAACACAAGTATTCGACCGCAAGCCGCGCGCTCCTGTGACTGTTCAGTGTGTCGAACATGTCCCAAACCTGTTGCTGGTCAGATTCATCCCACCAATGGACTTCTATTTGCATCTGCCCCACCTTTTCGATGGAGCTGCTGGCAGCCATGTCCTTGATAATGCTGAACTCGGCACCTTCTGTGTCGATCTTCATGACATCTGCCACGTCGTGATTCAACTGTTTCATGATGGTACTCAACCGTTTCATGGGGACCCGTATTATGTTTGCTTTAATTGGGCGCGCATCTAAGCGGATTTCCCCTTGTTCACTATCAATGGGGCCAATGGCTGTGCGATGCCACGTCGCGCTAGTGTTCACTATACCCGGGTCGAATGTGTGGATCTCGCAACTGGAAATACGACTCATGTCTTGCTCGAACTGACTCTCCCCATGGCTGCCGAAGGAATACACGACGCAAACTCGACCGGCTTCTTTGGCTCGAACTGAGAGCAATCTGGGATTGCATAGCCATTTAACCCCATCCCTGTATGTGCCGACCAATTCTTCGTGCGGGCATGAATAAGAAGGCTCGATCATGAACCACCCACGGGGTGAATTCGCATCCTCCCTAAACCAGGGGTGGGCATAGCGCATCAAAATGCGATCAAAATGAACAAAGAATCGCAAGTCTTCTTCTTTATCTGGCATCATCAAGGGAAGATTCTCCCTTGGACCAACTGGGTTGTGATTCCCACCTTCATTGCATCTGAAACTGAAACCAAGACCTCGATATACCTTGCTCATCGCCAGTAAAGCTGTCAGGACAACCATCACGGCACCTCCGACAGCCAGCATCCATCGAATACGGTTCGCCGTGGCCATGATTCATCGTGCCACCGGAAAGCTGTCTGTTTTTGGCTGTCGGGCGGAATGGCCGTTTTGCACAAAACTTGTGCGAACTGCTAAGAGCACAAATCCAATCAAGGCATGGTCTGTGCTCCAAACTTACATGATCTTCTACAGTCTCCTCTCAGCGATTGAGCAGTGCGGATAAAGCAAGGGTCGGTACAGTCGCACACCACGGGCAATGACGTGCAAAATAGAATGGCTCCTACAAGATTGTACAGAACTGCAACGTGGGTTTTGAGGCACTCTTCAAGGGCGTTTGCAAAGCTCGCTCACGAGTTTGACGATTATCCAGTTCCAAAGATCATGAGTCTCTCCAAACAACTATGAGCATGCAAACGCCTTGTAGTTCAGGCTTTCTTACGTTCTTTTGAAGTCAGTGGCGTTGTTGAAGATGTAGCCAATGTCCACAGGGAAATCACCTGCGACTCGCGTCGCGCTTTTCAGTGGAATTCGAAAGCATGCCGACACAAGTTGCTGAATTCTTCTATGGCACTGGAAAGAATAATTAACTTTCACTTCGTGAAATGATTGTGTTCACAAGCAGAAAAGCTTACATACACACGCGTGTATATAGAACTTTGATATACTATGTTATGTTGAATTGTGGCAAATTAAAGTATGTTGTAGTATACAATAGGATGTGATTATATCAAAATAACGTATATCGTAGTACAAATAGTGCATTATAAACGAGTTTGTTCTCTTATCCCATCTTGTCTTTACTATATAAGAACTTCGCATGTGCCATTCAATTTTGTTACACTACATAAAACTGTATTATGTTATATCATATTATGTTATATCATAAGAATATTGCATGATTAAATATTCCGTATGTTATGTTGTAAAATACTATAACACTAGAGTATAGCATAGTAAAGTAAAGTATAGTATTGTATAGTGTAGAATGTGATGTTTAACCACGTTGCGTTAGAACATATTACATTATGTTGTATCTTGATATACAACATTAAACACAAGTATGTTATTGCATTATACTATATCACATGACAACACATTGTGTTACGCGATATACAAGTAGATATTGTATAATGCATATTTGAAATGATACATTATACCTTATACATAATTTAACACACAAAAAAGTATATAATATCGTTTTTTCTGTTTTGTCGTACATATTTTATGCTAGGCATAATACATATTGTACATTATAAACTGTGTGTTGCATAACATATACGGCATGTTATTCAGCATATTATCAGTAAGTCATGCAGTATGTGATTGTATACTACGTTTGTATAACATGATAAAAATACCCACATATATGTAAGTGTATAAATATAATATGTATCCACCTATAACAAAATAAAGTATATCAGGATAGTATGTAATATAAAACACGTACACTACCCAACATATAACTTCAATATTTGTATACTAGACAGTAGCTAGTATTTAGCATACAGCATATAATGTACATTTACATGGCTACATTATATAATATGTAAATATGAACTATCTGTGTGTAACACATAGCAGAGAACAAATCATGTACAATGTGCTTGCAAGCATTTGTTGCAGTTCAGCATAGTTACGTGTGTATGTATAAATATGATATATCCTTATTATATTATACTTGTTAAGTATACTCATGCAGTTAAACTGTTTTAAACTTTCCACCACTGCCTCATGAGGCAGTATGGTGGACAAGCCTTGTTCCGTTGGTTCCACCCAGGTTTTGGAGTGGCCACCGATGTCGTCGGTCGCTTCTAGCAGCACCACCTGCTGAAGATCTGTGTGGCGTAGGGTAGTCGGGGGAGTCTCATTGTAAGTCTATGTTTAGCATCTGCAGGGTTTTCACCCAAAAACCGCGCTAGCGCCAAATATGGAGTTCTTCCATTCCATCAACTTCCAATAGATTTGGTTAGAGGCGCGCTGAATCACTGCCTGAATCGGCGGTTCTGCTGCTGTGGGTGGTGAGTGGTGAGTATGTTCGACTATGTCAAATCAATGCTGTGCGTAATTCTGGACTAATTACTGTGCGTGTTCCGGGCTGCAAATCGTGCTCCCGCCAGAGTGTGTTGCGCACTTTGGGCTCGTCATGGTCTGGGGAACCTCAAGTGCTGCTCCTACAATTGTTCTTGGGTGTGCATAAAGCTTCAACTACTAAGGCCTGCTTGATGCTCTCTCAGTGTTCAACTCAAACTACAGGGCACTAGGGGCCGAGGATACCCCCTACTTTGGGATCCTTACAAGAATGATTCTACTAATTCGGGCCTACCTCAGGCTTCTCATTCTCTGAAAAAATCTGAAAACTCCCCCGCCTTCCCCCCCCGCCCCCGCTATCCTTGCGGCCGCTCTTCGCCAGCATCCACGCTGCAGAAAGGCCACTGGGCCCAGTGCCCACGACAAGCACCGCTTGGGATGCGTCCTGGTGATGGGCTTGTTGACTGTTCCCGTTCCCACTTCATTTGTAGCAGTTGCTCTGCAGCTGCAGCACCGCTTCCTCACAAGCGCTACTGCCCTGCACTGCTTCGATCTGCGTACGTGGTATAACCGTGGACGATAGTGACAAATCCTAGTCTTGAAAAGACAGTCGGCTGTAAGGGCAGCACGTAAGAAGTGTTCAAAAGGACCTCTTCGGTGCTATAGAACCTGGGTTGGCGAGTGTTCTTGCGTTTTCTTTGAGGTAATGGTCACGTGAAGACGCAAGGCTTGAGTCGGCTTGAGGGGTTGGGTGAAGCCCAGACAGCATTTGCCCAAGCAGCAGTCCCAAGAAGAAACCGATAAATGCCACCAGCGCAATGAGGGGTGCACCGATGAACACCTGAGCCGACAGGTCTGAGCGGAATGCAGCGAACACAACCATTCTCCATCACTGCCCAACAAGCGACATATCGCCAGAGACATGATCTGATACCGCACCTGGCCAGGCTCTGGGGGGACTCTACCGAAGCGAAGCTTGCTTATCATAGGGGTCCTTACAACGAAGATCTCATTATCTAGGGTTGTAGACCATACTAGTAGTCCCTTGCTTCTTGGAACTTCCATATGATGCTTTCTTGTCTTGGTCGATGAGTGTTCCGAGCGCCTGCCCACACAGCTGAGGTGGCACGGGACCAACGTCACCAACAGCAGCGTGACGACCTCAGCATCCGGATGCCGTGAGCATGACTGCGCATGCGCCAAGGCTTCGCAGCATGCCGGCTGGTTGGGCACGACAAAGCTGCACGGGAACGCTACTAGTAGAAGAACCCACATGAACCTACATGGCATGTGCGGTCCATGGGTCCGTGGGCACTCTTGACTGAGCCGAGGGCTACCGAGGCATGTGCAACGATGTCGATGTTTCCCTGGTGGCACTCTGACAGTTCCTACGCTAGCAGCGGTTCGTAGAGGGGATGCGTGCCGACGGCAGCCAACACCTGATTCAACACTGAAGCCGACCGACGACCGAAGCAGCCAGCTGCATTGATGCAACAGTGGGTGCCTTCCACACAAACGTCAACATCAGGAACAGCAGGACTATGGTGGCCTGAATGTTTCGAAGCTCACAAGCCACACAACTTGAAAAGCAAGTTTGCCTAAATGCCACCTTGGGTCCCGCACCAGCATCAGCAAGGGAAACATACAACAAGCCAAGCTCACGTGCAGCATGCGCTCCTCAGCGGTAACTTTGCGTTAAGCACTTCAGAACTTACATCAATCATGCTGCGTTTATGTGGCCTTCAAACGTCTTCAACCGGCAGAAGTTTATTGCTAAAGTTGATGGATAGACTCCAGCTTGGTGGGTCTGCGTCTCGATACTGGCTTCGACGCATCGGCCTGCAATGGCGCTCTTCGTGAGGTTGAGGGCCGGGGCTTGATCGCATGATGGGGGCTTGGGCCACCATACAATAACAGCATACGGACAAATGCCCCTGTGCGTTAAGAGATAGCACCCGTGCTGTGGGCGCAGAATCGACGCTGACTTACAACTGTCTGTCGCTGGCGGCTTGTTGATATGTATTGATACGTGCTACTACCTGTAAACGAATGAACACGCTACCAAGATGCATGCAGCTGGCGCTGACACAAACAGCAACACAAACAAACAAACAGACCGACCGACCGGTCGACAGGCAACAGACACACAAACAAACAGACCGACAAACAAGCAGACCAATGCAATGCACCGACGGCAATTGTTCCATGATGTTCCATGAGTGCACTGCGGAGGGGCAGGCACGGGTTTTCCCTCACCCGCCCACAAACAAGGCTGACAGTGGTCCCACCGGCGTACGGTGCCCGGCTGCTGAACATCAGAACAGTATGATCCCAAATGTGAATCAATCGATTCGGCCACGCAAGGCCACTTGTCTTTGAATCTAATGAAGCGCAATGTAAGCGGCCATGCATGCTTACATTGGCGGTTGCGGCGAGGTTCGCAGGAGCTACAGGTTTGAACGACCACATGCTGGCAATCTTTCCAACAAACTCCAAAACCATACTGGCTAATGTCAATTATAAAATTCGATCCCCGGAATTCCGGAACTCAATTATCAACCCGCCTCACTTATAAACGTCAATCCCGGGAAAACCATAAAAGTCCGGTCCTGGTTCCTAAAAGAACACGTGAGGCACCTTTGTCAGCCCTCCCAGCATCGCAGAGAACAAAGCAAGCGTAGTACTAGTTACTGGTGGGAGCCCCCTTTCAATAATCAATATAGTCAATATCTCGTGCCTGGGCCCGAAACCAATCGAGGGAGGGAGAGGGTTTATCAAAATGAAAGCAACATTATATGCACTGCAGTGCACAATCACAACGCCGACCTCAACAGCCTCGATGTTGATGATTGGCGGGCCTGGCCCGATGCATTAGCTGCTATGAACACCGCATACAAGCTGTGCGCCTTCGAAGAACATTTCAAAACTCAAAGTTTGGATTTATGCTTGCGAGAACACATGACCAGGCAGGTCACGATGTGGTCGGAAGGCCTGGTATTTCGGCTTGGTAGTCGTTAAACTTGTCCGGGCCGTCCATCTTGCTTTTGCAGGGCTGCTAACCTGAGGATACCTGAGGCACATGAAATGAACTGAATGCGGGAAGCTGCGCTGTCACGCTCGAGGGAACACGACCGAAGCGCAACATGTCCGAACCATCCCGAACCTTGGAGTGGCCGCGCCAAACTTCCAGGATCTTCCAGCAGATCGGCGCCAGGGACTGGCGTGGCTAATCAGCCCATCCACGCGCCGTTCGCGACCCAGGCTAAACGCTATCACAAACCATTTGAGCCAAATGGATGACACAACAAACCGAAGCAAGCTCGACTGCGCGACAAACAACCGCTCAAACTCGCGATCGACCTCCAGCTACCCCTACTAACATGTTCAAGACTATGGTGATACTGCAAATAAAACGACTATCACTAATACTTTGTATTTAGTACAAATCACCCCCCATGCCGCAAACCTTTAACCAAATCCACAACCTCATTCTTTCAGGCCCACACACCTGTCACCCAAAATGCCAAACTCAAAGCCGGAGCGCCCAACCTGATGCCGCACCGCAAAGAACAAATCCAACAACTAAACCCGAAACTTTGATTTCTAGACTTTGTTCCAGAGTTCTATCGTCTGCAAGCCTTTTTAACCTCTATAGCCTATAGCTCTACAGCCGGCAACATGCTAAACCTCGAACTCGTGAAGTCCTGAAGCCTCAACCTCTAAACCCTGAGTCCTTAACCCCAAAGCAGCTCCTGAAATCTGAAAACCCTTCCTTGCAATCTGAGTCCTAAACTCTCAACACCCACTCCTTACGCCTCGCCCTCAAATTGCAGCCATCATGGAAAGCCACCAGAAAGCATCGCTCAAATTGATTGTATGTTTGAAACAAAATCTCTCTCCATCTTTCTCCTAAACCAAAATCCCTAACCCGAAACTAAAAACACTAACCCGAAAACGAACCCAAACTAAAACGTAAATCCCAAAGGGGCGATGCGCTTCACAGGCGTTCAGGTTTATTGTTTCAGGTTCGGGCGCGTGTGGCTGCGAAGCCCTGGCAAAACTGCTCTGAAATCTGCTGACGAATCACACTCCATTCTTTCCCTCGCCAACGCTATCAAGCACGTGTGTTCCGCTACGGGGGTGACGGGAGCTTGACATCCAGACGACGTCACTCGCTTGGCAGCCACTGCACCCCAGATCGTGGAAAGCACGCAGCCTCCGGCGATTATCCTCCCATGTCTTCATCAGCGCGTGTTGCCAATGCATGAGTACACACCTTCTGAAACCTGTGAAATCCCAAACCTCTAAAACTCTAAAAGCCGCAAAGCTTCAACCCTGAAAGCACGACGTCACGAAAACCCTCAAGTTCTAAAGCCCGAAGAAACTTAAAACCCTAACGCAGTAAATCCTAAGCCGTCTTCCTTGGATGCCTGACCTTTTCTTACGAGGCCCTGGGCAGCGCGACCTTCGCTTTTTCCGCTTCCGCGCATCTGTGCGTGTGGCACAACGGAGATGTCGGGGGTTTGGGGTATTATAGGGTTTCGGGTTTGGAACTTGAAAGTATTAAGCAATGTACTCTACTATCCCGCGCTTCCCTGGCTTACCATTGCAAAGGCATAGCTCCAACTCTACCCAAGCCCGACCGGAATACCCGAACCCTCGACCCTAAATCGTTTGGGCTCACACCCTCCGAAACCCCCAGGGTCTTGAAATCACGCTCAAAGGCGCATGTAGCGGACACCATGCGGCAAAGGACCCTGAAGCTCACAGATGGGATCAGAAGCCACGGCCTCGGTAGAAACGGATTTTCAAATTCGGGGTTTGGGATTTATTTCACTTTTTGGAGTTTAGGGCTTAGGGGGTTTAGGATTGTAAGGATCTTATGATAATCTAAGGGCCTATAAGTTCCTGGGAAACAGTTATAGCTGAAGGATTCCAGGTTTAGGGTTGCGGAAGCTCCTGGGCTTTGGCGGAGGCCCAAGGCTCGGTGTTTTTGTGCTTTCCTACAGAAGAGGGCTTAGGACTTAGAGTAGATTTTGGGGTTTTTGAGACGGCAGGCTTACCTCGGCAAAATAGTAGTAAAGATCCAACTGGGCCCTTATTTGCTAAAGCTCCCTTTGACCTTTGGCCCCTTGGCGTCTTTCCCTGTTGGGGGATGGTCCGGGATGGTCGTAGGAGATTTTTACATACCATACTATACTCTACTATGCTCCACTCTACTATACTATACTCAACTCTACTCTACTCTACTATACTTATAATCTCATATAGCAACTTTAACATCACATGATAGCAGTCGGAGGTCGGCGGTATCCCAAGATCCTGTCGACAGTAGCTTCGGCATAAGCCCCGAAACCCTGAAGGCCCTAAAGGCCCTATGTCTTAAACCCGACAAGCCCTAAAAGCCTAAACCTTGGACGTCTGCTCTATCAGGTTTTGGGGGGGTTTCTTTAGGCTACATCCCCTCAGGTAGATACCACTTACTTCTGTGCTTAGTTACCACTTATCTGTGCCCTAGTTACCACTTAATTTTGTCCTAGTTACCACTTAACTTTGTCCTAGTTACCACTTAACTTTGTCCTAGTTACCACTTAACTTTGTCCTAGTTACCACTTAACTTTGCCCGTAGTTACCACTTAATCCTGCCTTAGTTACCACTTACCTTTGCCCCCAGTTACCACTTAACTCTGCCCTATTATCTCTAGCAAAGCTCGAAGCTCCACCTCCGATGCCACTCCGACGAGGCCGGTGCACGCTGGCTTGTGGTAAATGGGCCCCCATTAACAGAAAAGTTAAGTGGTAAATGGCCCCCATGAACAGAAAAGTTAAGTGGTAAATGGCCCCCATGAACAGAAAAGTTAAGTGGTAAATGGGCCCCATTAACAGAAGAGTTAAGTGGTAAATGGGCCACATTAACAGAAGAGTTAAGTGGTAAATGGGCCCCCAATTAACAGGTAAATGTCGTCTAAAGAAAACGTGTTAGAGAGGAGGCCCAACCTAAACCCCCTAAATCTCCAAAAAACCCTAAGACTCCAAACACACACCCAAAACTCCAAACCCTAAGAAGCCCCAGTGCCTAGAGCCGCGGAAGCCCTGGATGACCACGGCCGAGGCCGCAGCGCCGCCTTGGGTTGCGATGAGCCTGCCATGACCCAGTTCTGCTTTCTGGTTCAGGGCCGAAGGCTTGGGCTGTAGGGATTCCGGCTTAAGGTTTACATAGGGTATATAAGGCTTAGGCTTTAGGGTCTTGGGTTCAAGATTAGCGGGTGGTGCTGGTGGTGGTGGAAGCAGAGAGACATGGTAGTGGCGGTAGTAGCTGCAAGACAACCCATCTACATTCGCAGTGTTTGATGTCCCCAAACCCCTATAAACCCCGAAACCCTAAGCCCTCTGATCTGCTCTCCGACCACTCCAACTTGGCCAGCGAAACTCCGCCCGAAGCGCTGTGCATGTCCACAGCTCACCGCGCCCCTTTGGAGGGGGGTTCAGAGCTTCGTGGGGTGTTAGGTTTGTTTAGGGTAGCGTTGCTTTCGGCTCGAAGCTTAGGGATTCCCGACACTTTTGCCCTTCCTTGCGAAGGCTCCTTGTTAGCTCTTGAGCCTCAAAGTAAGATCCTTTTATTCCTAAAGCCCTGCCTTGATTCCTCCACCCTCCCACCTTGAAAGACCGCAGAGCCCCCGAAGCGCTCAAATTCAAGACCGCACACCAAACACAAAGCCTGAACAAGAAGCCCCGCCTGTACATGTCTCTAACTCGAAGTCCAAACTCACTCACCCAAGCCCGAACTCTAAACCCGACGCCTAAAATTGCAAAACGCACGAGTCTATGCAACCCTGGCAACTGCTTCTGCAAAAAACGCCTAGCCGTGGAAGCCCAAAGCTTCGAATAACAGACTAACCCTAAACCGTGAAACCCTAAACCCTAAACTCTCCAGTTCCCCCCCTGCATGGCCAGATGGCCCCGGATGCCGCGCCACGAAGCCACGTAAGATCTACACTTCTAGATGCTACGAGTACACTGTACACCCAAGTCCACGTGCCTGACTGCTTGGACTATGATTTGGGGATATGCCTGGTTGGGGAAATAGTCTCGTGTACCTATACAAACACTACAAGGAGAGATTCTTGCTACCACTAATTCCCTTAAGCCCTAAGCCGAGCAACAAAAAACACACCAAACACCCCAAACCCTGAAACCTTCAAATCCTGAAGCCCTATATGGGTAGTTTTCTAAATTA